CTGAAAACCCTAGCTCAGGACATGACATGTGAGTATTCTTGGATTTCAATAATATTTTACTAATTTTATAATTTAAAATTATAAGAAAAAATTAGTATCGAGCTTCTCAACTTTTCATGGTGTAGTTTTTGGGTCCTTAATTTATTTAAATTTCGTCTTGATTGAAATTATCGATAAAGACATTAAAATTGAAAGCTACTTAGCATTACTTTCTAATTCAACTGAAATTCGAGTATGTTTTAATGTATATGTTGAGCATTTTATTCGTGTGAGGACTCAAATTCACATAATTAAATAAGCTGAAAATTCAAACACTCACTTTAAGGTTGAAGACTCTCGTACCAAATGAAAGGTTGGGGAGCTTAACTGAAATTTTCTTAAATTAGAAATATTTTTTTTTGGGCTAGTATTATTTTCTTTTCTTGAAATATGTTTATTAATACAATCTCAATCTGTTGTTACATTATAGAAAAATTTGCACAGATAGTCCCCAACTTATAGGTATGTACAAAACCAGTCCTAATTCTTTTCTCTTGGTAGCGCCCTCCTTAACTAGAAGTTTTGGTGCTAAAATAGTCCTCACAGACTAATTACATCTAGCCCCTGTTTGATTTTAGATAAAACTCAAACTTAGTAGATGAAATAAAAGTAGATGAAATATATGGTTAAAAAGTCGTGGGTTTCACGAAATACGTGATTAAAATTAATTATTGACTAACATAAATTTTAATCTATTTTTCTAGTGGAATCATACAAGAGCCAAATTTGTCCATTTAACTACTGGTATAGTTCTCACATAGACTAATTTGAAAAGGGGAAGACAAGCTTCTTGATTGTTTCGAAGTGAAGCATGCATACGGGCATGAACGTGTAACTTGAGGCTCTTGGGTCAAAGTCGTAATCTATAAGTAATTAAATAATAAATTCTTAAACATTGTAGTTAAGTTTCTTCAAAATAACACTATGCTCTTGAATCCCTAATAAAAACAGTGGGAAATGACATTTGTACATTATGATTGACACTTCTATATACAGCCCCCCTCTTGTGAGGGAGGCACGACCAATTAAAAAAATTGTGGCCCCCCTTGGGGGGAGGGCTGTACACCCGGGTGTCAACCCCGATATACAAGTGCATAGCCCTAAAACAATTGATGAAGTTCTTGGGCCTGTGCCATTACAAATAGGAGTATCAATGGACCATAGCTGGATCCATAACATTGGAATTTGAATAGAAAATGGCATCAAGCCATCAATCTAGGGATGAGCCAATTCAAGAATCAATGGACTGGATGAAGACAATCAATATTGATCCAAATATAAGGTCATTTAGTGGGCCTGAGATTCAATTTTGATCCATTAAGTGGCTACTGGCCCAGCTACCAACACTTCTATGCAGGGAAAAATACCAAAAAAACAACTAAAAAGTTATATTCAAAGAATTAACTATAAGAAAAATTAATATAAAATATCCAATTAACTAATTTTCCATTTTATTTAACCGATAACTAAACAAAGCTTACGTCTATCTAAAGCCGGACAATATTAATATTGTATATCTTGCATTATGTGGATAATTTGGAAAAATAAAAATTTAGAATGTTTCGAGAGAGAGTCCTTTAAACCCTCTCAATCATGCAGCCGAATGTGGAACTTGGCTAAGGACATACAACATGCTTTCTCAATAGCCGTATGGCTTCAATTTTCAAAGATAGGAAACTAACCAAATTGGGTTTTTTCCCCTCGCAAGATAAATGCATGTTCCAAAGGAAACCTGAGTTCAGCAGGAATAGAAGGATTCTTAAAGGATGATCAACGAAAATGAATGACGTGCTTTATGGGAAATATTAAACACCGAAATATAAGCTATTTTCAGAGGTCTATCGTTCATTTAGGGACAATCTTCAGAGTCAATTTTCAGAATCCTAACAAAGCTCTTCTCGAAGATTGTCACTTGCTTTCAGTTCAACATTGAGGTACCGTGAGCATTAAGATAGCGGTGACAAAAAAGCTTGGCGGCTCGGGAGAAGCCCGAGCTGGGCCCTGCTCGGGCTCAGTCACACCGAGCCGAGGATCGGGCCGAACCCCATTTGGGGGCACCAAGCCCAGCCCAGGCCTGCCCATGTCACGGGCCACTTTTGGCCCGTGTCCATTAAAAAAAAATTAAATTTTTTTTTAAAAATCCTCCCTGCCTGCACAGCAGGTAGCAACGTGAGGCAGCTACAATTGTAGTTGCCTCACGCAGGCAGCTACGAGAGGCAGCTACGTGTAGCTGCCTGTGAGCAGCTACAAAAAAATTGTAGCTGCCAGTCCAAATTTTAAAAGTGTCAGGCAGATGACGTGCAAGTTTTCGATTGCGTGCACGGTACAA